TTGATGTAGATGTGTTAATAGGAAAGAAAAAAAACATTGGTATTTACATTTTTAGGAAATCTGGGAACACATCAGCACTACTAATTTAACTTTCACCTATGAAGCCCGTGCTCTTTATTGTTTTTATATATATTACGATCGTCGTTCCATTTTGTTTCTTTTTGTAGTATACTGAATAACACATAGTAGTTTAACATAAGAATAACATAATAGTTAGTTTAACTTAAAGATGTCATGTTCAGTCAATACTAGCATAACTCAATAATTTCTACAAAGTCATGATAAAACAAATTAAGGCCGAAATGTATAAAAGGTAATTAAATTAAGGGGAATGTGATCGTTAAGGAAAGTGGTAGTACAATGCTAATGTGGGATAACAATAACCCAATGGGTTCAAAGGGTTACAAAGTGTGAGGTTTGGACAAATTGGATGATTTGGTATCACCAAATTTGGAAAAGGGGCGAAATTAAAGTAAAATTAAGATTAAAGATAAAACGGTAAAGTAATGCTATATCCAAACAATATATATGAGTTAATACAGTAAGCTGATGTTTCCAATAAGAAAAACTAATAAATTCACATTTATGCATGCCCATAACAATAATTGAAAGGCACTCACCCTGTACACATAGGACATTTTAAAAGACAACCATCAAAAGAAGACAAATGAAACACATATTTTTAACTTGCGTTTAAGATTTATTTAAGAAAAAAAAATCTAACAACATAACTAGTGGAAAGACGTCTTTAAAACAATTTTTAACATTAGGAGCACCTTTAATACAAATGGGTGACGAAAGAAATGATGTCATGTAGAAAAAAAAGGAAAGCGAAAAAGGTTTAACTATTGAAAAAACATATATAGAAGGAAAGCTTAATTTAAGAGGGTCTTTAATATAAAAAAAAATTAAAGGTAAAAAATGAAGCTATTAGAATTACAGAAATTAATTTCACAGATTTAATTTAAATTATAGACTGACTGAGAAAAAGATGTAAAACATAAATTTCCTTGACACGGACCGAAGTCCGCATCTTGGAGGAAGAAAAAAAAAAGGAACTTGCAAGAAGGAGGCACAAAAAGAGAATGTATTCACAAAGTGACTTAAAAATTCCGTAAGGGGAAGTGCGATGACCGCAATGACCATGAGAAAGGTCAACAAGAAAGTTAAAAATAAAATTGCTAAATCGAAAAAAAGGAATAACGTTTAAAGAAAAATCAAAGGCTTAGGTAAAATTAGAAATTAAATTGTCACATTACATTAAGTGTAAATGCGACATGGCGACTGATTGTTTAGGTGAGAGGCACATTAAAAAATCTGCAGGACAATAGTTCCCCGCTTTTAACGTCTCTGATATTAAATCAAAATGTTTGATGTATGTTTTTTTAAAAAATCTAACCCCTTTTTTAATTAAGCATTCTTTATTAAACATAATTATGTATTTAGTTTAAGCAAAAAATAGCTAATTGTAGTTTTTGTACATTTATAGGGATTGTATCTGGAGTACAAAATTACTATGACAAATGATCATAACAGCTTTTGGTTTAAGCATTTTTCAGCAGATGAGTTTTGTAAGTAATTTTTTTTTGTATGTATATTATTATCTTCTATCTATGCTTATTTTTATCAATTGTCTTCTCTCTGTTTCATGCTATTGTCTTCGTCTATTCTAAATATATTATTGTGTTCTTAGTATGGTTTCAATTCTGAAATGACTTCAAATGAATATTGCTAAGACTACAGAAAAAAAAATCGATTTCATGTTTATAAAGTTCATAACATTCTATGTTTATTAAGTTATTTCATGAATTTTAAACTCTAAGATATGCAATATAATCTTATAACTAAATATTAATTATTTTGTATATTTTTAGACATATTGCAGATAGATATTAGTTTTTTGCTACTCTACATTGTTTTACTTCTCTTGTCGTTTATTGAAGCTGGTAAGATACTCTTATGGCAATAACTTCTATTATTCAATTTAAAAATGTGTTTACTTTAGAGTGATGGTTCTCTTTGACTGCAGTGAAGAGGAGTAAGAATCGTCTTGGATGGGAGTTAAGTTTATCCAATAATTCGAAAAAACGTGTATATAATAATTAAAAGCCTCAAAAACTGAAAAAAAAATCTATGCAAAAACGTTTTTATGTTTTGCCCAAACGCTGCTGATATCAATAGGAGCAAAAGAAAAATTAAATTATTCTAAAATCGGTTTATTTGAGAATGTACGAGGCTCATCCAGAAAGTAAGTTTCCCTAATTTATTTAAAAAAAGAACTCACACTTTCGGGAACATATTTATTGGCAACTAGTACAGCAATGTTTCAGCTATTTTTCAACTTAGCCACCACCAAAATTGAGACACTTGTCGTATTGTGGGATCAACTTTTGTATCCGTCTGTTGTAGAACTCTGCCGCCTGCGAATGGAACCAGCATGTGATAAACGTCTTCAGCTCTTCGTCGTTGCCAAAACGCCCAGCGGAGGACAGGAATTTCTTGAGGTGCAAGAAAACGTGAAAATCGCTGGGAGCAATATCAGGGCTGTAGGGTGGATGATCAAACAACTCCCTGCCAAATTCCGTCAAAACAGCTGCTGTGCGTCGGGCCGTATGTGGATAACCATCGTCATAGAGGAGCGCAACACTTGCAGTAAGCATTCCACGACTCTTGTTTTGAATGACAAGTCACAATTTCCGCAGTGTTTCACAGTAACGGCCACAGTAACGGTAGACGTCTGTCGCATGCTGGTTCCATTCACAGGCGGCAGAGTTCTACGACAGACAGATACAAAAGTTGATCCCACAATACGACAAGTGTCTCAATTCTGGTGGTGGCTAAGTTGAAAAATAGCTGAAACATTGCTGTACTAGTTGCCAATAAATATGTTCCCGGAAGTGTGAGTTCTTTTTTTAAATAAATTCGGGAAACTTACTTTCTGGATGAGCCTCGTAGCTTAAAAAGTGTTTTCTCATCCTCATCGGACAAGCTGGTGTTTTGATGATTTTAATCCCTTATTTTCTTTTCCCGACCTCAATAATGAACGATAAATGTTGAAAGCATTTTTCCCCTTCATTTAAATATTAATTTAAGTTTTAAAAGTTATTTCATTTCAGTCTCTAAAAGGATTCTAAAAATGTGTAGAGTGTAAAACGTAATCGTGGGAGGACTCACTATTACTGTGATAACTTTGTAATTTTATCATAAGTTTAAGCTTTACTAATTTTAAGTTTATTGTTGATTATAGTTTTGTAGCTGGAAATTATAACACATTAAATCAAAATAAATTATGCAGGCTAATACCACTACACTCTCAGAAAAATAGGTTCAAAGTTGAACAACGATATCTGTACTTGAAACCATAAAGGACTGTGAATTTGCTGTAATAGAGTGTTCAATTCAGCTATGTTTCTGTTCCGTTCAAGTTAAACTATTAATAATATTATTATTTTAAGGCATAATGCTTTGCAAATTTTTAGCAATCATAATAAGGTGTTAAACTATGTTTTAGTTCTGTTCAAGTGGTACCATATTACATGTAATTAAGTTTAATAGGTACGATAATTAATAATTAGTTAATTATCTAGCCATATTAAGGTTGCAGGAAATTAGAACGATATTATTGTACAAAACGATCAATAATTTCTATCAGATTAACGTATGCCTTCCATTTTTCCCCTCATACCTCGCATATGCAAAGTTGGAGTATGATTTTGGGTTGAATTTTTAAGTCTCGAAAATTTTGTGGGAGTTTCCCCAAGCTCTTAGCGCCAAGTTCCTTACTTTTTGATCACCTAATCATGATACTATTAGTATAACATTTAATTTGAAGAAATGTTCATTAATTTGCAGATGCTCTTCGATCCAGACATTTGTTTCATCGCACTTATGCTCTCTACCTTACTTCAGTGATTCTCGAATGTTGTGGTTTATCATTTACGTGTGCCTATTATGCGAATCTTGCAAAAGAAGGATATGCTCTAATGGAACTCAAACTCTTGGGTAAACTTTATAGATTGTCGCTTTAACCATTTTTTTAAAAATAGTGTCGACGCTCGATATGACTACTTCTGTCTCCAAATAAAGCTAAAACAACGAACCAGTTAGCCTGCCTTTTTAAGTATGTAGAATTTCGAGTATCTCGAGATTTAAAATCGTATAGTCAAATATCAACACAAAGTATAAGTATATACGTGAGGCTGATGACTTTAATTTTTGCCTCTTACATGTACGCTCTTACAAATTTTAGGTGTTTTCGGGTATATTTCAGATTTGACGAAATTGGGTATAATAGTGAATTTGTTTTTTTTTTTAAAAAAACGATTATGTCGTCTGAATACAACATATGCTACCATTTTAAACTAAAACTTGTCATTAGCTTAATAGCGCTGTTGAAGAAGTGTAAACATCAAATATGTAATTTATGTATACGTTTAAACCATTTATCCGCTGTTTGATCGCTTTTGGCTTTTACTAATGGACCATGTGTTGGCGAATGTTTTTTCAAGTTGTCACCCACACAAAAATTGGGCTCTCTTTGACTGATAAGGACAAATTTTAATATCACTATGTCAAAAATATAGGCAATTAAAAATAGGTCACAATCTTTAACAAATTCGACTAATTTATATTATTTTTGCATCGGTCAGTATCTTTGTTATCCAAACAAAATTTAAAAATACTCACGAACTCTCGCATTCAATGAAATTTCGCTATGTATATAGTACTCATGATATTATATTTTTGATTTATTACCAATAATGAGTACGAAATTATCGTATTCGATAATTATAAACACTGATCACGATATTGGTGAATTTGCTGCACTTACATATATTATTAGGAGCCGATGACACAGTCAAAAATATTGACATTTAACGATATATAACGATATTTTCCTATTTTAGCCATTACTACTATTATTTTTACATTACTCATATTTCCGTTACTCAAACAAAATTTAGCAATGCTCACAATAATGATTGTACTCAGTAATAATAATAATATGATATAATATATAATATAGTATAACATTCATGACATTATTTTTCGAAACTATTTCGTTAAAGGGGGCCGTAAAAAATTGCCAAATCGTGGTGTGCTAATTCGGAACCCCATGAATCTTTCTTTCACAAATTGATGCATTCTGAAAGATCAAAATTTTGAATGGGGACATTGGACATTTTAATGAAAATTCTGTTTTCCAAAGTCTTTTTGCATTAATGTATTCTTCATTAAAAGATTTTCAAAAAAATAATTAAAAAACGATGGGAAAAAGAGATCGGTTGCTTATTTAATTTAAATCACCCCTTTTTTTTGTTTTTGCTTTATGGAGTGTTTATTTTAAGGTCTAGAACATTTCAATCAAGCTCTAACAATTTTTGCCGAGTTGTCAATGATAATTGAGATCGGGATTTCCATAAGGAACACACCTCCTGTTTTGTATCCAATAGCTATCTTCAATTCGTCCGAACTTTTCAAATTCTGTCTTCTGTGTGTATTCATATCTTTTGATTTCAACTATTCTGATATATTCGAATCTAGCCATCTATGCTACCTATTTAAAATTGGCATGAATTTTCAGGATAGCCCAATATGTAAAATAATTGTTAATGAACTTATGTTTCAGTAGCACGATAAGAAAAGGTAACCATTATAAAAATTTCTTCTCTTCATTTTTTAGGAAAAGTGATTGAAGCTCTCAGTACATTGTTTTTACTTGTTCTGCTGATTTTAATAGCTAAGGGTTATACAGTCACAAGAGGAAGATTAAGCAAAATAACATATTTTGAAATATTTGTTTTTCTGTTCTTGTATATTCTTGTGTATGCAGTGTTATTCTTATATGAAGAACAAGTAAGTCTTTATTAAATGTTAAAATTAGCATTTTAATTAAACCTGGGAACATGCACCACTTGAAATACATAATAACTAATACTCAATCCGACATATAATGGCAGGAAAAAAATCTTTTCATAATTTTTCTGTTCTAAATAAATTAAAGAATAATGCAAAGATGCTATTTATACAAAAAATTGACATCTTTTAAAAAATAATAAGCAGGTAAAAATGTTAATCCGTTCTGCTTAGGAAACGAGATATCTCTCAACAAACTTTAAAATGTGTAATAAAGTTCGACAAGAGATGGCGCTTCTGAATGGAAAAACTATATTTCCGTTAATTTCAACAAAACTGCTTGTTTGGGCATCTGTTAACAATGTCCTTGTACTACACCACGCTGAAATTGCAGATGGCGCTAGTTGTTGACAAATTTTCAACTAATTTTGAATCTTAGTGATATTACCCGTTTTCCAACACAGATTTAAAAAAAAACATTTATGTCTCTTTTTTTCTTTTTTTGACCTGATATGCAGTATGATTACTTTTTTTAAAAAACTTTTTTTTTGCAATAATTCAAGATAAATAAATTGTTCTCAAATATTTTTCTTTCCAGTTCTTTGACCCAGGAAAGGTTTTATACATTTATGAAAGTCCAGTAGGTTATGGCATAATTGGATTACGCTTAGTTGGCTGGGCTTGGTTTGTGTATGCTGTCACTTTTACAATGATACACTATCCCGAGAAATCAAACTTCTACACTAAGCTATTTTTACTTTATTCGATATGGTAAGCACAACAAAATTTTAAATTTCTAACATCGAAAAGAATTTCTGCATGACACTAATTCTCTAACAGTCAGAGAGGCGCAGTGTTTAATATTTTGCGAACATAATCAAAGGCTGAAATACAAGGGATTGTTGTTAATTTAAGCGCAATGTTCAGACAACTAATTGAACTAAAATTTCGATTTCAATTGTATTTACAATTACATTATAGATTTAAAATACATACATTGTTGAAAAAGCATCCAAATTAAAAAAAAAAAAAAAAAGACTTTCTTAGACAGGGATAGAGCGTTTCAGCGTTTGCCTCCCAATGAAGTTAGAATTCCAACGATAGCTGATCGTTACGAATTCTGTTCCCTGCTCGTGCCGATAACAGTGATGACATAAAATATTCTCAACGGTTGACGGATACGAGTTAGAATCCCCTGGATGCGGGTTAATCCTAAAATTTTTTTGTGATTATCCTTACTGTTTAACGCATATGCGAGATAATTCTATCAAAAATAAATAATAATTTTTTTTTGTCGTATACCTGTTTAGGCAGTGGGGTGCGATTGTTCCTGTTTTTCAGTGGCGCCATCTATGGCCAGGAATTCGACTTCTGCCACGCCATTCACACAACCACAACCCGCTTATAGGGCGGGTCACACTCACCCACAAAGGAGAAAGAACATGGAACACACACAGAGAGAAAGAAACATCCATGCCTTGGCCGGGATTCGAACCCAGGACCTTTCTGATGCAAGGACAGTTCCCTGCCCCCTACACAGGCCGGTCGGCAAATAAATAAATAACATGAACAAATAAATATAAATAAAAGCCTCCACGGTTTCTAGTTAATCCCATTACTTGATCTTGGAGCTACCTTGTCTTCCAGGTTGGGCTCAAAATTGCAAGGCTACGAAGCCAAAAATGGGTCTACTGTTAAACGCTGGTAATAAAATAAAATAAAGAATAACAAGGTAAACTAGTTTAAACTAATTTAGCGCGCTTAAACACCACAGATTTCAGGATTCTTAAATTATTCTCTAAAAAAGTTTAAACATGTAAGCAAAGAAATGGGAAGTTTAAGTGATTTAAGTTATTTATTAGATATAAATGGCTAAAAATAGTTATTATAATAATAGGCTAAAAATAGTTTTTATGCTAATAGTTTTAATTTTTCATTTATTACTGTCACAAAATTTCCTATATTTTTTAATTATTATTGGTTGTATATGGGTTTTTTTCCCCAGGAGAAATAAAAAAATAAACGCTCTAATAATAGGTAAGCATATTTTTGGAACTTTTGGACACCCTTCTCTTTCCCTTGTGACACACCTTTTCTACCTCTAAAAAAAGCGAATCGCAACATTCCTTTAACATGTGCTCAAGCAGATTTTTTTTCTTTCACTAACTCGCATTACTTTCGCAACTTAAAAAGAGATTTATTTGTTCAATCTTTGGTTCAATCATTAGGGATTTTAGATTTTTACGTAAATATTTTTTACATTCCTTATTTCCCTTGTCAACAAATAATTGCAAAACGCAATCCCCATTCTGTTGTTAGAGGCTTCAATAGAATTACATTACATTGTTTAAGCATATTCGTTTATAGACTATTTTTTTAATATATAAAACTGTTTGTTTTCTTTCTAGGTTCCTCGCAGCACCAGTAGTTATTCTGGTTTCAACTTATGTTGTACGAAAGTGGATTCGAGAGAAACTTATCAACGCCGTGGAACTGTTCATTTCAATATCAGCTCATTTCGTTTTCTTTGTAAGGAAGAGCGTTATTTGAAAATTCTCATATAATTTTCATATATATTTAAGAACTATTATTAATCAAATTCAATAATACCATTCATTATATTCATCATTTGCCCCGCAGTGGACTGTTCGTAAAGACACAGTTCCCAGTAGAACACTGAAGTCAAGCATCACTGGCTGCGGTCAGTAAGCGGGTGCGTGATCACTTTGATCAGCCTGTGTAGATACCGAGAGTGCTGTTAACAGTGTCCTCGTTAAATTGTTCTACCGAAAACTGCTCGATTTCGCATGCAGATCGTCGGGCTACCAAAGCAGGGGAGCCATACCCTCTGCAGAGGATCAAAATTGCGATGGCATGTCTTCGGATCATCCTCAAGGATGTTCTCCAGACTGTCACCAATAGCCCATTGTGCAGCTCAATTGCGACGTAAATAAAAGTACCTACCCTCATTCATCATTTCATTTTACATTCATTATATTATGATATTCATCATATTATAAAGAGTTGTGTTTTATGTTTGTCAATGTTTAAGATAAAAATTCCTAATTATTGATAGCTTTTTAATTAAAAAAATAACAATGAATATTTTAAAATTAATTTAAGAAGCTGTATATTTTACTTTCCTTATCATATTAAAGGTTTTAGCATGGCAACTTATTAGAGATAAAAAAAAATGGTTTACAATTTTATCATCTTATAAACAATTCAAGATAAATGTGGTTAAAATTTTTAATATTTTATAAAACAAACTTTTTTTTAACTATCAATAAAATTATTAACGGAAACACTATTTGTATTTCAACATTAAAAAGATAATATTGTGATATGACGCGATTATTAATTAATTGAGTTACAAGATAATGGAGGCTCTTTAAAAATTACTTTTTGTAAAAACTCTATATATATAATTAAAAAAAACTATATTGACATATTATATATAGTTATAAGTATGAAAATTCTATTTAATACGCCCATCCCTAGCTTACCACGGATAATGGGCTTTGATTCAAAGACTGGATATCACTTTGAGAGAGTCTTAGAAAATTCACTCCGTTTCTGAGCCGTGATGGCTCAAGGGATAGAGCGTTTGCCTTCCAATGAGGTGAACAGGGTTCAAACCACAGTGCTTGTAAATTATCCTCAGTGGTAGAAGGATCAAGGGTTACAGTCCCCCTGCCATCAGGCTAACCGTGGGAGGTTTTCATAGCTTTCCTCTTCATGTAACGCAAATGAGGGTTAGTTCTATCAAAAAGTCCTCCACGAAGGTAAATTTCTCCCAATACTTGAATTAGGAGTTCCCTAATCTTCTGGATTGGGTTTAAAACTACAACGCTACGGAGTTGAACATTAGTAGTCGTAGACCCAAAATTGGGTCGGCTGTTCAATGACGGTTACGAAATAAAAAATAAAATATAATATTCCGAACAATTTTAGAGTTACAACGCGCAGTTGGGGAGCATGCTGCGGTGGCAGGGTAATTACTACCGCCATTCGCTCTTAGATCTAAATCATAGTAATTCAAGCCCAAGATCCAGTATTGTCTTAGAATCATCCATACAGATGAATTTCAGAGTGTTACCAATATCATATTAATGTTTTTTTTCCCCAATGCCCACCTGGAGAATGACCTAAGTCATACAGGCATCTGAAGGGCAGATTTGTTGGCCACTCTTATCATATTAATGTAATGCTAGAAAAATATTGACGATGAAATCAAATCTGAAAAATATAAGCTTAATATGTATTGATTTTTTTAAAACTTTAAATTTTTTTTTTAAATTTATTTTTAGGTTTTGACAAGACCCTCTAAAGCAAAAGAGAACTTTCCTTACCCCGTGAGAACATCTCAAGTACGTATTTTGCACTCCTATAACACCAGTACAGCGTTTTGAGTATGTATTCTATCCATTGTAATAGCTGTTAATAGCGTGGCCATCAAGAGGGTCATGACCCCAAACATTTAGTTAAGAGANGAGACGATGAGGCAACCACAAGCACTTCCACTGGTTCAAGAGGTCCACGAGGGAAAAATGCACAATATTATCGTTATTACAGAGCACGGAAGCGAGCGGAGCAGGAAAAAGAGTCGTTGAATATAACTAGTGATCCTTCTACTACTGCTGATTCTTCGTCGCAGGTTGCTAAGTTTAACTTCTTCCGCGCAGAAGGACTCCACGCACTATTTTTATTTTTTAGAATTAAAAATAACCCCTTTTAAAACATAAATTTCAAATTATTTTAGTTTTAAATTATTTTTTTTGTTTTACAACAATTTCTGATTATAAAGATATTTTTAACTCTTAATGTCCAAATGTAAAAAGGTTTTATAGTTCACAAATCCAGTTTATTTGGTATTTTTTATCTTTCTTCCATAACGAGTAATATTTTCCCGTATTCCTTCCGAAACAGGGAGCTGATTTCGGTTTGCAAAAATCTGTTTCTTTAGGCGAAATTTCCAAGGGAAACAGCTTTGGTAAGGGTTTTATTTCTTCTCCATGGATTGTTTTCAATTTCGCAGCTCTTGGTATGTCATCTTTGGCGGGATATAACTCTAAGACAACTGCTAAAGGCCAATTTACTGTTTTGACATTATCATCGCCAATAAGCACCACGTGTCCTTCTTTTAAATTGTTATTTGATTCTTTACCACGCTGAACAAGTTGAGCCAAGTATTCTGTTTTGAACCACTGTCTTAAGTTTTCTCTGATATTTTGTAAATATTGATATCTATTGTTCAAGGTTGTATTATCAATTTTGTCTAGATCAGTAACATCAGCACTTGTCAAGCTATTTAAAAACATGGCTGGCGTTAATGGTGTTAAGCTATCTTCATCAAACACATATGTCAAACGTCTTGAGTTTATTATGGCTTCGCAGTCGCAAAGAATAATATTCAACTCTTCATATGAAAGCAATGCTCTACCGAGGATTCTTCTTAAAATTTCCTTAGTCATTCTTACCATCCGCTCCCAAAATCCTCCGCACCATAATAACTTCGAGTATTTCCTATCATCTTCAGATATTCCAATTTGTAAAAATGCTTTTCTTATATCTGATGTTATCCCATAGGAATACTTCCTAAACTGAATGAGCATCTTTGGAATATTCTCTAATAAGTTTGGTCCACTTTCTAAACAAGAATTTAAAGATGTTCCATTACCATCTTTGGAAGACGCATGAAATGCGGGTCTCGGTTTTGTAGTTTGACTCGATTCTTTTTTGACTGCTTGATGTGGTAAATAGTGACTTCCTGGCTCTTCACAATTTTCATCTATTTCAATGATGCCTTCTTGAAGCCATTGTTCCAGTGCTTTATTATATTCTTCGAATTTTCCAATTCTTTTAAATCTTTTTGTTAGCATCACCAGTCTACTTTCCGCATGTTGGCGATTATTGCATTAGATATGAGGAGTATCCTTCCATGGTAAACTAACCACATATCTACCACTTTCATCTGTGCTAACAGTTTGTTCAAAAAATTCTAAAATTTCTTCATTCTTCATTTTTGTTGTTTTAGCTTCGGTTGGATCTCGTATTCCAATAGTCTCCAAGCTCCAAAGGTCTTCAATGCTGGGTTGCAGAATAAGCTTAAAATAGTGTTTGTTTTTTCTTCTCCGTGTTGTTAACCCATTATTGTCCACCCAAGCCGAGTTTCAATAGCCGTAATATTTTCATCCAACTTTTCAATTTTACCCGTGAGAATTTGAGGCAATACATCCGCACCTAATAGCACTTTAATTTCTAAAGGATCGCCCCCAACTTCTGATGATAAGTTAATTAATTTTTGCTGTAGAATGGAATAAATGTTTTGATTCTTTAATCTCGGTACGAAATTGCATATCTTTGTCTGAGCTAACATTGGACATGTAATTTTGAATTGACCATCTAGGGATTTTATATTGACATGTGTTTTTCCTGACTAGTTTCTATTCCGCCAAGCAATAAATGGTTTAAAGTTTCTTCTCCAACTATTGGCAAATTTAGCTTTTTTACCCCCTTTGTTTTTATATATGACCTTTGGGAACCGGAATCAATCAAAACTCTTGAGAGTCTACCTGTTTTATCTATGCCCTCAACCTTTACTATCAGTGTTTGCATCAACGTTTCACCCTTTTGTTGATTAACAAGAGTTTTAGAACTATTGCTATTTTCATCCTTTTTTCCTTTAGTACTTGACTTTTTTTGACTTTGGTTTTCACCATTTTTTATGTTCCAACACATTACTGTCAAACGTCTTCTATTACAAATTAAAAATTTAACAGAACTTTCACATTGCTGTGTTGGATGCCCGATTTTCAAACAAGGGAAACATGCTCTTTTTTCTTTTACAACAGTCTTTATATCGTTATAATTTAAATTGTGTAACTTGAAACATTCCACTGAGCTATGTGAATCCTTGTCACACCATATACATTTAAACTTTTTGAAATCACTCGTGTAATTCCTTGAATCACCAGAATATATACAAGCGGCTGTTGGTGGAACTACATCAAAACTTCCTTGGCTACCGAATCCACTACGAGCTATTTGTAGGCGTTCCTCACTTTCAACTTCAATTCTGAGAAATTTCAATAATTTTGTAAGATTTTCTGTGCTGGCATTTGTTTCTGCGGATGATCGAGAGCTCTCCCAAGCCTTCAAAAGATCCTCTGTAAGAGCTGATTCTACTAATGGGTAAAGCATGGCGGCATAAATATCGCTTTTAACGCCAAGCGATTCCAGAGCTTATAACTGTGTTTCCAATTAATCATACAATGTAGCCAATGGCATGTGACCTTTTTTTGTGGCCTGTGCCAACACTAATCTTAACAATTCTCTGATATAGATTTCGATCATCAGGTCATCGCTTGCGAATCTTGATTTTAGTTGAGTAATTGCTTTTTGATAATCTCGGCTTGACGGTGGAAAACTATCCACTAGTTCTTTTGCTGATGACCCGGGAATCATTGCTTGAACCAAATACTGAAATTTATCATCATCATCGATGGTGTTGTCCTCATGTATTTTACGGAACTGTCCCCAAAATCCGAGCCAATTTTTTATTTCTCCATTAAATTTTTGTAGTTTTAACACTGGAAGCTTGTATTTTCTCTTCATTTCCGCACTATTTTATGAACTTGGTTATCCATCCTTGGGCGTCCATCACCAAACGAAGATTAACAGTTTCTTTTAAGTACGCACATCTGTCAATATGTTCTTCATTGGCTTCAAAATCATTTTCATAATCATCGTTATTTTCTAGTTTTAATAAATTTTACAGAAATCTGAGTTTGCATATTGTTTAATCTTTCGAATTTATTAGTCAATTGTGATAATAAAATCGTTACGCGATCCATTTTAACCTCCGTATTCGATAACTCTGTTTCTAAATTATTGGCAGTTAAAGTAAATCCTTGGCGCAATGGCTTTCTTTTATTTTTCTTCCATTTATGAAGTGAAATATTAATTAGTTTCTGATAGTTCCACTTACTTTCGTTTCTTTTGTCCTTTCTTTTTTATGCTTGGCTCTTGAATATCACACGGACGCCACTTAATGGTGCGAAGTTGAACTTTGAATTTTATGAACCATATGGGACGACGACTCACAAGAAGAAGAAAACAGGTTGTTTGAGACAAGAGCACATTTATTTATAGGACGAAGACATTTTATACATATAATGACAAATAGGAAGAATAACTACTGTTGCAGGGAGAAAATAATAATAAATTCATTAATTGATTAGCATAAATTTGAATTTTAAAGTATTTAAAAAAAAGAAAAGGGGGTTGAATCTAAATTAACGTTAGAGTGATTTGGAGGGATGGTACAGGGTTAGGGGAAGTATAGTGGTAGTATAGTGTTGTGTCGCAAAAACCGTGATGGGCTCTTGAGGTCAATTAATAGGGTGGAGTATAAAGAAAGAGATAATAATCGGAGTAGTAAAAAATCAAAATCAATTAAAAGGAAAAAAAATGTTAAACAATCATTATAGAAAAGATGACAATCTTACAGTCAAAGGGAGAATATAAGATTTTAAGTGATAGGTTATCGTGACTCATATACATATATATTGTCTTACATTACACAAAGAAATAATATTTACATCCTAACATTTGAGAATCTGGATTTGGAACAAAAAAAAGAAAAAAATGTGTGTTACTCACCCATTACCAGTTGATGCACTGAGAGTTGATATTATGAAGAGAATGTGAACAGCTTGGACAAAATATAAAAACAGACCGAAAGTCAACAATTTTGGTCGACAGAAGAGATTTATTTTAAAATTAAAACAAATAAACATCAATTACAATACTCGAAAAATTGTACATCTTAACAATAACCGAACAATGGCTTATGCCGACACGGCATTCTGCACAAACTACAAAGTGGTGGAATGAACCGTAGCCTATAAAGTTAAAGTATTAAATTCTAAAAAAAAGGAGGTGACATATTACTAACATTAAGGACACAATAAAAAAGAGTTTACAAAAATAATGAAAGGGGTAACAATTTGTTACAACAAACTAACAAAAAAAGGGGGGGGGAAGAAGACGCCAAATAAATGGCGGATAAATTGAACACTATATCATTTTTCAAAAAAAAAAAAAAAAAAAGGAAAAAAAAAAAAAAAAAAAAAAAAAAAAAAAAAAAAAAAAAAAAAAAAAAAAAAAA